ACAAAAACAAAAATTGATACACTGTATGAAGAGTGGAGTTTTACAGCATTTCTCATGTGCTTGGTAATAAAATAAAGAACATTCAAAAGGAATAAAAACAGACGCCCTACAACAATATGTCTTGGATAATGATTACACAAGAACAGAAATGTGTGCTGTACTTTGGTCAGGTTATTTAATGACGATATTCCAATCACATAGGTAAAACATCAAATGTAACAGAAAGATGATCATGAATGGTATGTGAATAGGGGTTTTACATCTAACTGAAAAATATCAGCACTCAAACTGGTCCTCAAGCATGCATTGTTTACAGTTGCCTTCACTCCCAAAAGGAATTTGACGCAGCCATTAAAATCATAAAATCTATCATTCATATCTTCAGACATCATCACAAATCAATATTCCGTCATATCCTTCCGCATATATTAAAGGGCTAGGTTTTAATTGTACACTTTCGATATCGATTCATAACGAAACTCATCACCCAATACAGGAATCGACAGAGTCACCGTGACTGGACAGCTGCACGAAACTGCCACAAGAGTGCACTAGCTGACACGCAGTACGAAACCACCCGAAAGCGGCCGAGAAAATCCTTCGGACTCTACCTAGCCACTCCTCAAGGCTTATTCAATAATTTCTGCAACGTCCCTTAATTTCATTCTAACTCTTTATACCATTATACTAACCCACATATATGTAGTGGAGAATCATCTGTCACAAACACTGACAAAATGATACGGTCCTGTCACTGAACTTCACAGATAGCAATTTTAATTCCCACACAGAACTCAAATCAACAAAGGAAAAATTACGTAACTATTATTAACCACTGCAAAGACTCAAGAGGGCGAGAACGTGTACGTTTCTACACAGATTTTACATAAATCCACATCTTTGGAGCATTTCACTTAACATTTTTTGGCCTGGCATTTATTCTTGTCACTTCAAGCTTAAGACGAAACTTTATCTAAACGAAAAAGGCAATAAACTGCTTCCCAAAACCAAAACTATTAAAGACCACAATTTCATTTCTGCAACCCTAACAGAACTCTTTCCGGATGAACTCTTTTCACCATGCCTCAAAGGATTGAAATGGGGGGGGGGGGGTTAATTAATGCTCCAGTAATATGGTCGCCCCACTTGCTGCCACTGGCGATTAAACGAAAACAAGGTACAAGCATACAAATATCTACAAGAAAGATCACATTCTCAAGCCCTGATGTTGCAGATACATGCCTTATAATCTCCGTCACTGGCATTACAAGAAAGTGACAGCTATATATCTTTGCAGGGCATGTTATTAGTTACAACAGCAATGAAAGTGCATCAACCCAAAACAATGGTAACTACCTACAAGACCACAGGGTGATACAACCTAAAAACCAACATCAACATTTGCCTTCTGTTATAAACAGTCCCTTCTCTATACTTGAGTAGTTCCCACTGATGATGGACCATCTGATACACTATCATTATAACCAATATAAACATATTTACCACCATAACCACAGATGTCAACAAAAGGAAAAATTTATACCGTAAAACTAGTTAATATGAATTTATCTTTCAAATGTTTAACCATCACCCCATTTTTCTCTGCCTCCTGTATCAAAATTCTGGACACAATTATGATCCAAACACATAACCATAATAGAAATTAAAACTGCAATTCTTGAAGTATTTGTGCCTTGTCCATACTCAACAAAGTAAATAGTCTTCACATACCACAAATAAATACAATCCAATATTTAGTAACATATTTAAATATAATGTACCACTATGTGCAACATCTGAATTGTATACCATGTCAAGCTCACATGTAAGTTTAACACAATTTTGGAGAGAGAAAAACATGAACCATCATTATAAGTACACAAGAATTTAATAATAACTTACCAGCAGGTTAGACTACCCAACTAACAATTATAACTTGCATTACGCTTAAATAGCAGTTTTTACTGGGTCTGCAACATTCCACAAAAACCTTCTTCCTCTCAGTAATGACTTGTATGAATGACGTACCAAATGCATAAGAACTGGTGTTAGATACATCTATAAAACACTGACATATATTTCTTTGGTCTGAAAGTATAGCATCAACATATACTTTCTGCAACCAAGTAGCACAGTAAAAGCCATACTGACCGTATGCATATATAAAAATTAATCAAATTTCCAAGCTTTAACACTATTTAAGTTTTGAGGATCTTACAGAACAGAAAATTTTGATGTTGGTCTTCTGGATTGCAACACCACATGGACATGTACACCATGTACATAAACACCAACATTCTAGAGGAGCATACCACCTTCTTCTTCAGAGCTGAAATGAGGTTATTAGGAACTGGACTGTTTATACAGGGTGCAATAAGAATAAGACGATGGTCTGGGCCAATAGGAGGAAGATTATTCTTCATTTTATCCCCTTACCAACTAGTGCCTAAGAACCCTTCTTTCCACTTATTGTCACAACTTTACCCAGCCTTTGGTTTCTCAGAGCACCCACCTTGCACTTGCCCTAAATAGAAAAAAAATCTGACTTCTCCTTTCTGGCCTCATAAACAACAAATTCTTTTTTTCTCTCTCTCTCTCTCTCTCTCTCTCCTAGACATAGTTTCCTGTATGGGGTTGTTTCCTATTGGCCCATACCATCTCATCCTCTTCTCATCCCACAGATCTGGTTGATGAATCTACCTGGCCTGGTCCTTCTCCTACACCTACATAAACAAAACAGTTCCTAACAACCTTACTTCAGTCCTGAAGATGGAGTCGGTATATTCCCCCAAAATGTTGATACCTACCCATAAGTCCACACAGCATTACAACCCAGAAGACACAACACTGACACTAAAACGTGAGTATGCATAGAAACGTTCACCAACCAACCCATGCAACACCATCAAATGAGGACAATGTTAGTTATAAAGATATTTGGAAAAGGCAAATATGAAATTATATAAATTCTTAATTTAAAATAAATAGATCAGATGTGAAATGTTGATCTAAGATTTACAATACAAATGACCAGCATCAGTGACAGACCTGCTCTATTCATCTATGCCATTATATGTCAAACATATATAATTAATGAGTTTCAATATGACTTGGTGAAACTGACTGCTAGTAACCAACAACACAAAGCCAATTTCACTACCAATAATTTCATGTCACATTATTTGCCAATATAACATTTCAATTTCTCAGACTTGTTATCACCCCAGTCCATCTACTTATGGGATGGAATAATGAGAAAGTCCACTTTAAAAGAAAGTAATTAAAGATGGTTGTCTTCTGGGATGTTGCACCATGTAATATCATAAATATTAGACAATGTTTCACAGCAACCTACAGCCTCCATCATCAAGTCTTAAGCTACTCCAAAACATCAGTCAATATCTACCAGACTACATAGCACAACATCCCAGAAGACAGCAACCACCTTCATACACATAACCACAAGAACCGGGAATCTGACAAAACTAGAAAATTTAGGGATATCAAATTTCAAACAACGTTAGTAGTAAATAGCAGTGATTTCTCCAAAAACCATTAAAAACATATTTCAGTTTTAATTATTACTGTAGTCCATAAAATATAAAATTACACTACACCTCAAACTTTCCCTATGCCAAAACAATATTTTTTCCCAATGGGCTACAAAACTTTGGTCTCGTGCCGAATTCTCCACAGATCAATTACCTCTAGTAAAAGTACTGTTTAAGAAACCACAGCTACCCTTTTGCTACAAAAGTGACAATTATTTTAAACAATCTACAAGCATCAATCTAAATTCTCATCACCAAGAAAATGTCAAACTTCATCTTGATTGTAACTGTTGTTTCTTTATGTAAAAAATAAATAATAGTTCCACAATAAAATTCTGACCTTACTATAATACAATATAATTTCTACACTTGTCTTCTTATAAAATTAGCACTTATCTGCCCACATCATCTACAGAGAATAAATAAGTAGCTGAACTATGAACTCAGTAGTAATAATAATAATAATAATAATAATAATAATAATGTTACTATAAAAATTACTCCTAAAATACCCTCCAGTTCACAGGTCACAGAAATGTAAAAAAAGACAACCGTCAGCCTTTCTCTCCCATTCACAGGCTAAAAAAATAAAATTTACGATGACCTATGTCACTTTAAGTAAATTCATTAGCTTCAAATATGCCAGATATGTCAATATTGAGCCTGTGGTTATAAAATCTGTGTAGTTTTCAACTCTTTCAACAACTATTGCTAGCCGAAGTACCATACACAGATCATGTTAAGAGGACACAACATGGTTATAACATTATCTTTCCTTTTAGTACAATCTTACAATAAAGTGTTTCTTTGCTAAACATGCCATAAATCTAAATTACTAAACAAAGAAGTAATTTCTCAATATTAGAAGCTCATGTCAAATGCTCAAATTCTGCATGCTTTGGAATTTACATGTAAGATAAATGAAAATAGAGTCCAACATGCATATTTGAAAGTATTAAACACAAAAATGCTTCCTGCTCCTTATGAATTCCACAATATGTAGCATTTTCGTTAAGAAACACACAAATTGACCTGTCATTATAACCTAGTTACGTTAACGGCATTCGTCTTTCGATGATCTGCATAACTATTTCGCAATATAAGTCAATTATAGAATTGGATTTTATGCCCCCGAAGTATTCAAATACGCATAATTACTACACTTCTTATTTAGGGTTCATTTAATGTTTTTGACATGACTAGTATATTCCATCATCAAAAACAGCTCTTCATACGTCCTTGTTCGGAACGATTTCAATTCTTCGTGAAACAGGCTTATACTTTGGACTTAGATCATCAACCCATGAGGTCTGTAAACAATATGAATGAATGAAAATCGGTAGCTTTAGCAAAATATAAGAAGCAGAAAGCATCAGCAGCCATGTTGAACCAGCATTAGGCCTAACCGACGTCACTGCTACAGAAGCTCTGCTGAGTAACTGCACTTACTACTTATTTTCATGCCTCCTAACGGAGGATTGGGAGGTTGCTTATTCCCCTCAGCAAAGGACGTTGTCCTTGGACGTCCACTCATCTCTAACGGCTCTTAGTTATTTCATATACGTTCATGAACTTCATAGATATATCACATTTCTTGCGAACATCCTTGCACACGAAACATCGAACGGGGGCTGGCAGCCAGTGTAGATCCTTCTTATTATCCTTCTTTCACTCGTTTGAGACTCATGTGAATGCACCAGATTGTCGTTATTTAACAGTAACGTACCTAAGAACTATTTAAGGGTTTCAATTAACCCTTCTTCCCAAATTACTGGAGTCTTACATTATATGAAAGCCACGACGATCTTCACCTCACCAACAAAATTTTAGATGCTTCAGACATTGACCTGTTCGGCCAACATCGTAACCAATCACATCAAGCTCCCTGAACACGAAAACATCCGAATATGACGTCACATAGCAACCTCTTACGTCAACTAACATGGCGGATTTCCCATCATGCGTTCTGTAAACAACTGAAGTCTTTCTCCCGCGCAAATACGTTGCCAACCAAAGTCTTATCTGAATTAAAGTTGGCCATGTCTATACAAGGAGAAAGTAAAACTAAAGCACGTCATATTTGTTTACGTACCACTGTCAAGCAGTGTTAATGCTTACCAGGCTACCTGTATAAGGCATTATTCACCACTAAGCTTTTTCCCCCAATGGTAGTGCCACTTGAAAACAGTCTTCAATATGCAAGGTTTGAGCAAGAGCTCACCAATGAACCTCATCCTTAAAATTCAATACCATAAATTACCTCTGCCATTATGTAGAATATACAACACACCACAAATCCTACAGACCTTAATATCTAAATTCAATGCTGCACCCATTGTTTGTGTACAAAGCCCACTTTTGAAGCCAACTTATAATTTGTCATCAATATTGGACTGATATAGGCCAAAACTCAACCTGAACAAATTTCAATCTGTACACCTAATAATATAAAATGTCACTGAGTAGTTCATTTATGAAACATGAACAAGGCAGACACCTTTAAAAAACATACTTATTTAATGCAGTTTATATAAACCATTACCACCAACAAATCTTTTGTAGTGTTAATACTTCACACAACTGTGATGATGGTAAATATTAGAGTAATGGCCTTATAATTAGTTATCAGAATTTTGGAGGAAGCCATCACCTCCATAACATTGTTTTTGTGTAATTTTAACCAAGATATTGGTATGCAATTCATCCTAATTTAGCCTCTCTCACTACATATCTTTGTAAATTATCCACAAAGACAAAACTCATTAAAGAATGACAGACTACTACCCAGTATTTAATTATGATGAGGAACAAAATATGATCTTAAGGTGATGATCAATATCTGATGTGTGCCAGCAACACCTCACTACACTCTGGGCTGTGACTTTCTTTTTAACTTTACACCACACTATTTTGTAAATGTTTCCTCGACTCCAATACTCACATAAGATTTACTAAACATTTAACACTCCAGTAGGAAAAAGAAGGATACGTACATATTAATGGCTGAACACTCCCAAAAAAAATTGTTGTCTGTCAGTGTAATGTAAGCGTTATCTTGTAGATTCCTTAAAAATTAATTTGTAGGATTTGCTGAGAAATGAAGAGGAAAGCAATGATTGGTACAATACATAATAAACACTTAGCAGCCTGTACAAATGTATTATGATATCCTCATACAGAGTGATGACAGAGAAAATGAGGAGTGAAGACAGCAGGCAATTATGGGAAATTAAAGATAAAAAAAATGAAAACATGTAATCGGGATGGCACCTCTTCAATGCTCACATCTAACGTTATATTATGAACCTGATACAGAATACTTTGTTCATCAACAGAAAAGATTAAAGGACTAAAAAATTCAGCTTCAGAGAGTTAAAGCTTCAAACCTGAATAAGAAGACAGCATACAGTAAGAAAAAAAGACTAAACCAAATGATACCAAGCATTCTTCAGATTTAATCTACGATATCTTAAAATATCAAATATGTCACAAAGATTTTCACTGTTGACTTGTTAACTATTAGAATAAAATTCAGAAGTCAAACAGTCTGTCTCATTCTCTGATGATAAGACAGTCTATAAAATATTGAACTGCTGGTCCAAATTGACACAGGCAACCACATGAGATTATATTACTTATAGAGGCTATAAAAGCTTCAAGTAGTGCATAAACAACAGCGAATATAAAATTCACATACTCTTATTTCCACACAAAAATTGACAGTTGTTCATTGTCAAATTAAAACTCCAATACAGAATTCATGTTACTGCAATGAAGTTGCCTTACATTTTCCATATAAACATCAAACATAAGAGAAACTTAACAAGATTTGCATATTTTTCAAAGATAAAAAAATTTCAGGTCTTAAATTATGTGAAGCCGCCTCATAAGTCAGTAATGCCATTATGTTGGTATATTATTATTAGGGAAATAACAATTTCAGAGGTGGGTATTACGCACGTATATTCCAGGTTTCATAAAAATTTGCCCAACGGTTCAAGTTATTTGAGGTAGAGAGAGACACAGAGACAGGAAGACACCATACACTTACCTTTCTTTATAGACTGAAAATAATACTAAGAATTTACAATAAAATGCCACTACAAAAAATCCTACAGATCCAAACAGGTTCTTTGTTAGGATAAAAGTGGCAAGCTGAGTATCAAATACATCATGTGAATAGTGTTTGGTTTCACTACAAACACGGCTTGATAAAAAAACCCACAAACTCCTTTCTTATGCTGGTTAAGCTTTTGCAGTATCAACTACCACAAAAGACAAGATATTTTCTAACCAGCTGAGCAAACGCCAGCTTCTCAAGAAAAACTTTGTCTAACTGTTCATGTATTTATAATGGAAACACAAAATATGTATGGATGATAACCAGTAAGTAAATCAAGAGGCAGAGCATCTCTACAAAGCAACAAATCTCTGTCCTTACTCACCAGGAAGTATTGTGTACGACATGAAATGTTCATATTTGACACGCAGAAAATAATGTTTTCAGAATGCAAAATACAATAAGAAACTTTGTCATTCGGCCAAAGTTCACAAGCACAGTTTTGGTGTCTGAAGCTTCAACAGGTGATCAGTCAGAGTCTGAGGAATACTTTTCTTTCTTAACAGTGAAGTCATATGTCTTCCACCACTCTGCAAATTGCAGGACTTTCTTTCGCTGCATGTCAAAATTCTCCCGCCGCTGCTTACGCCACAAACTGTGATCCAGATCCAACATACCACCAATTATTTCCTGGAAAGAAACAGATCATTCAAATAACACATCGACTATCGATGTAAATGACTTCATGGAGCACAATCATTCTCTAAGAAGCTAACAGTTGCTCACCTAGGCAAAAAATTCTTAGAAATCCAAAGGTTCATTACCATGTTCAAAATTGCCCAAAAAGTTAAAAACCACACCAACACACACAGTTATAATACATTAATTATTCAAATTAACTGCGTAAACAATCCACCACTCAGTTAACTTGTGCACATTTTTTTGGAAGTAAATGGGAGGAATGATCTTCCCTACATCCACCATCCCAACTAAGTAAATCCTTGTAGTAAGTCTGAAGACTTATTCCAAAATACTGAATTTAATTTACCTCTTAAAAACAGAATGCTTATTATAAAATCATTCTACTTCAGACTGACCTGTGCAAAATTTTTGGGAAACATCTTTTCATCTTCTATGACATGAGCAAAACCAGACTCAAGACCAAAATCAACTGCAAAGTATGGCAATCCTTTTGGTATAGCACGACGAACATTCTTTCCCTTCAAATCCACCAGCTTCTTATTTGTTGCCCATTCTGTCTCACACTCCAGAATTGCTTTCTGTAAAATTAAACAGCTTTATAATAAATTTACAATCTAAAAAAAATAATCAGGGTACACACAGTTCCTTTAAAATACTGGATATCAGTCATTCTTGAGTGTCATAATTCATCAATTCAAACTGAACAATGCAACTGCATAGCATTCCACAAAAATACTCAATGTGCTTCTGTATATTATCAACCAGATATGTGCACAACAGATTTTTGGTTGTAGCTGAATTCATTAATCTTACAAAATTATTTAGTACACACCTTCATTCCTCGTCGATTCTCTAAAAATAACTGTCCTTCCAACTTCACTGTAAAATATCCTAAAGGAATTTTTATGTGATACCTACAAATCTACCTAAACACACATTTTAATTCCTCAAAAGTTGTCAGTGTGTCTATTAAACTTAGCTATTGAAGAATGCAAACCTAATCAACTTTGCATTATACTCAAATGTTGTTTAAATATGGTGGCTTATTACTATTATTAATGTTGTCACTGCCATGGCATTCCAATATTGATATCCTGGCACAAAATTGCACAATTTTTTTATTTCTTACCTTAAAGTAAATTGGGGCCAAATCTCCAGTCTCTCGTGGCATGGGAACACATTCCAGAATCATGTGTGGAAACTTCTGGAGATATACTGCAGTCTCAAAGAAAACCACATCTAGATCCAGCTTCTCCATAAACATGGATGTAAGTGTTTTCCTGAATGTCTGAAAAAAACCAACCATCTGTTACAATAACTAAAAAAAGACAAGTGAAAATAAGGGTCATTACGAAATCCACGTTGCAAAAGAAATACGCAAACTAAAACAACAAAAAATAGTGACCACAGCAATGCATGACATAAAATACATACAAACATCAAAATGGTCAAACCAGTTAATTTACATTTCAGTTATACAATATGATCTATTACATTAAGCATAAGGCATTTAATTTTATGAGATCTGAGGTCCTCACAGCAGCGATAATGTCAACAGTGGTATTCTGGCTTGTAATTCTGTGTAGAATTGTAGGTGAGCAACAATATATCCAATTTTCAGCCCTGAAGATGGCCATAATACATTCTTCCAAAGTGTTGGTACCCAACATATAAGTTCAGAGTTTAAGATGGAGGCAGTAAATTCCTACAATTTGATAGTAGCCACCTGCAAGTACATGCAACATCACAACCCAGAAGACCACAGACATTTTATCTTATGTTGTACAGTGTTACATACACCAAATTATTGAACATGGTATTACCATTCATAACATAGTGGTTGACAGGAGGGGTAATTTATTTAAGTTCAATGAATTACAAAGGGGAAATTGGCTAAGAGATCACTGGAAAAACAAAAAAATAGCTCTAAATTCTATTAAATAAAATAAAAAAAACTGCCGAGTGAACTCCAATTTATGCCATTGTCTAATTTATCTACAGTAACATTTATGGATATATTTTTACTTTTATGTATTTTTACTATTCAGACAAACAAATTTCAGTGTGGAAAAGTATATCTGAGATTTTCCAGTGAAACTTTGTTACTCCACCTGCATTTCACTCCATACATCTTCATCCAGCTGAGTACCACATGATGTGTGGTACATAGGCACAATGAGACAATGTCCCTCTGTTAGTGACTGGTGTGGAGGCAAACATACGTAAACCTGTAATCAAAGAAAACAGTGATTTACCACTTTATCCTAAATAAAGTTTCAAAACACTGTTTTATCCAATAATCCTGAAAAAGTGTAACTGACTTCAGACATGAGTGTTTCTATTTAAATGCATTTCATTTTGTATGGTTAATCATTTGTTGGGGTAAAACAAAAGAAGGATTACTATGTAATAACAAGTCTACAAATCATTTAGAGGACTGAAAATGGATTTTGGAAATAAATTCAGTGACACATTCAGCAACTGCAAAGAATGTATTTAGAAAACATGAGCAACCCATTTCAAGTACATTTTTTCACTCTTGTTGAATCTAGCCAGCACAGGATGTTTCATCCCTTGGAGTTATAACCATAAAAATACATGTTTATCTCAAGAGAATCAGACTGAGTTACTGTGTCAGGATTCCATTCTGCACTTTAGAATTAAATTAAAGCAAAGTTTCCTTAAAGAGATGTGCCAAAATCCAGCCTCCTGTTATAAAGATTCCTTGGAACTTTCTTATAATTAACATCTTAACTCTGTGGAACAGAGTTCTTCATAAGAAAATGAAAGTTACAAGATGGTGAAGAAATTCCCCACCTTCTATGTAACTCAAAGATTCAATACCGTCTTTACAAAAGCACACAAACATTTTAAGATATAAAAATACAGTTTACTGTTCTGTGCATTTATCTGCCCAATTTACAGTTTTCTACAATAATTTTAAGATTATAGGAAGTAAAATAAAAACACCTTGCATAGCATCCCACATGATGCTTCATGATTCTATATGTGGTCTAGCATTAGAATAGTCAATTTAGTATCTTGAGAATGAATATAAACTGGTGTACAATACATATTTTGCTTGAAACCAACTTAACATTTCAAGGGGAATCATCTTCAGCTATCACAGATCTTATCTTTTACTGTTCCAATTTAAATTTAGTTCTGAAAGCTCCAATGCTTAGAAGGGGGATCAACCCATCACAACAATTCTAGGAAGTTTGCATCAGATTTTTAAACAGCAGTAATAAGAAAAGGTGATGTGAAACATGAAGAAACAGTTCATGTAACATTTCTCAACCAAACCACATTTATATTTCATTCTAACTTTTATACCTACCTTGTTTCCAATAGCTACAACAAGGTGTTTAATCATTTCTTTGCTGTCAAAACACCAGTTGCAATTTTTCAGAACTTTATCGATCATTTTATGTTCCCTGATAGCCTGGCCACGTTCTCTGGACTGCACCTTGCCATCAGATTCCTTCAACTGGGCTTGTTCCGCAAATATATCATCCATATCATATTCACTATCAGTGTGACCAACCCCCTACAAGATACAAAAGGTATTAAATATAATTTGTTCTTAATTTAATGTCACATTTTCAGCTGCATAGAATAGTATAGTATTTTCACATTAGGATGCACACTGACTCATAAGAACAAGCATCAATTACCACATAAACTTAAAAATATTAAATGATGCCACTGCAGACGAACTCTGATGGTTGAAACATGTTGGACTTGTAATAAAAGTGAATTAAAGATAAATTGTTACATTTGAAACTTCGCAGTACAAATAAACTCATGTTTATAAAAAGATAACAATGTTGGTAATAAAGCTTGCTTAATTTTTTAAATAAGTATAGAAATTAGAGTTTACTTCTAAAATTTTCAGAAACTTTAATTATTTTTCTTCAAGAGTTCTACTTCCTTCTTCCTTGGCTCTACAACACAGTTGTGGGTCTTCGCCGCCTCCTTTCCAGAGGTTTTCCTAGTCTTTGAAGAGTGCATTTGTGAGTAGCGAGTGACCAGCCCACTGCCTCTGTACAACTTCTACTCAATCCTGATATGACTGCTAGAGCCATCTAGCAGTGAATCAGGAGACTTGGGTGAGAAATGGCCACTGAATTTTGCTTACAAAACATCTCATTTCATACAATATTTTTATTTTCCATCTATACACAAACTTAAAATAATGTTATTTAAAATTATCTAAAATTATAACATTCTCAGTAGACACTGCATCATGTTACATTTTTTGTATTGACGACATGTTTCAATGTGTATTACATCATCATCAGGTCTATCAATTTTAATATATTTTAAAAACTGTAGTACATTTTGCGTTGCGTTTATTGATTATTTTAATTTGTTTAATTTTAAGTTTTTTGTCTCTTCCTTTTGGTTTGGAGGTTGTACTTGGATGTTTTATATCTGTCAATATCCAAAATCACGACTTGAAAAATTAATTTTACAGATATAAAACATCCAAGTACAACCTCCAAACCAAAAGGAAGAGACAAAAAACTTAAAATGAAACAAATTAAAATAATCAATAAACGCAACGCAAAATGTACTACAGTTTTTAAAATATATTAAAATTGATAGACCTGATGATGATGTAATACACATTGAAACATGTCGTCAATACAAAAAATGTAACATGATGCAGTGTCTACTGAGAATGTTATAATTTTAGATAATTTTAAACAACATTATTTTAAGTTTGTGTATAGACGGAAAATAAAAATATTGTATCAATAAAACACAAACATGACGCAATTAAGATATAAATCTCATTTCATGCTCGTAAGATTCTTTTACACACCGTAAATCTAACACATGGGACAGTTGGCTTTACTTCCCCTCCGAAGGAAGTTGTGCTATGGATTTTTAACACCCTTAAAAATCCACCGACCTCAGCCAGGTTTGAACCCACAAACCTTAGGTCCAGTGGCAAGCACACTAAATAGTCCACCGAGGGTGACTTAAGAGTTCTACGTGAAACACAAAACTGCTTCTTGTGTTAACAGAAGAGAGAGAATGACGACAAGTTAGGTGACGCGTGCCCATTTAAAAATGTACATACCTTGGCTGCAAGTTTAGAGAACATTTTATTCTGATCTTCTGCAGTACCCAGTTTTTCCCGTTCAAACTATAATGAATAAAACACAACAAAACATATTCTCAAAAATAATTATCAAAATATCAGCAAACTGACAGCTGCAGCTCATTCACAGTTTTAGCATGTCTTCCAAATAAGCCACATGATACATTGAGAACAACTCCATTTACCACATTGGCCAAATTATATGGCAATGCTTTTTACTAATAATCATTGTACCCTATTATTAAATGTGTGACAATAACTTCCTCTCCTGCATCGATACACACGCAATAGCTTAGCTGTATGGAGTCCCAGATACCACATGAATACTTCTCTTTTAAATTGCAAGATATTTAATTCTAAAGTTCCATACCTAAGAAACTGCAGTAGTCTTTGCAAAATGGCTGTGTCATATTCCATCATACAAAGAGAACCATTTCAGATCATATAGCACCAAAAAGTGGGAACAGCTGGTTCTATAAACTTAGATGAACAACTTGGTGTTTGTTACCGTATATGTAACACATTTTCAGAATTATAATTTTTTGCAAAGAACTGCAATTTGTGAAAATGGTTCAGCCATAGGGACTGTGCATAGGTATAGGTCTCAATGAGTCAAAACCCCCAATAACGTTACTCCAATATGCGTATCATCATAATTGTGGAAGCCCTGAGAAAAATGGTATTTACATTCCCACATACTGTAGTTATCACCTGATATGGAAAGTCAATCAATTATCATCAGTTGCTCTGTAAGTAAAATAACAATTTTCTGTCTAATTTTAAAAGGTGACATAAATACATTCTACCTGTAACTCTGGTAAAAAAAACAAAAACTAAAAATCAAATTAATTTACCATGAACTTGGAATACCAATATTTTTCAGACTATTTTCCTATTCATAAATTTACATACAATGGAAGAGCAAAAAACTTCCACAACACTGTATCACTAAACTGCACTAATGATAATAACAGAAACATGCTAAATGGGAGTAATGCAAGAATAAGTTGATTGCGTTACTTTCAGTTTTCACAAAAATTCCTCTGTCCAGCAAATTATTTTTAAAATTATAAAATAATCCAAAAAAATTACCAAATCTTTCAAAGAGTATTTATCATCATCTGCATAGTACCGCACTCGTTTCCCATCAGAGTGCGTCTCCATCTTCTGCTTCCTTCTCCGGCCACCTACTGGCTCCACATGTTGACCAGCCCTTTGAAGAGGGTGCACAAAGCCCCGAGAGTCAGTTCGGGTGAGAATTACAGTTTCTACTTCCTCTGGTCCAGCTGTATTCACTGTTCCTGTAACTTTTCTGGCACGAGCTATACGAGCAGCATCTAACTTTTTCTTCAGTTCTTTTGCTAACGTCTGCAGGAAATAAGGAATTGTACTGTTAATAACATAAATATATGTAGTTTTATATCAAACATTCCAAATAAAAGTACACAATTAATGGCCTTTTTAGTGTCTTACAAAAAAAGTCTATTTAAGCATACTGATTAGCAGCAGAATAGTAGACAAATTAAAAAAAAATTTAAATTTCCCCCATCACCTAGTAAAGAATAAACACAAACCTCATTTCCTAAAATTTCCGCTTTAACAAGTTTGGCCCCAAGATCATTCATTTCTTTATCTGTAAGGATGTGCGCAATTTCTGCAGATTTCTCTTCCTCATATTCTAATTCTGAAGATGAAGACTGTACTCTCATTCGCTTTGATTCCTTACTGCTACTTGGGTTAACAGGAGCTTTAACATTATCAGATATTTTCTTCCTCCAATTTCCTGATGCCACTGAACTTTTGCAAGTGTTAAGAACTGATATTCCACCCACTTCTAATCCAGAGAAATCCTGATATGAAGTGCTTTGTCTTCCTGACACATCAATCTCCTCTTCAGGTTTCTGAAAAGCATACAGAGTTCTTCTACCCAATGAAAGACTGTCTTGCTTATCATGCTTTCTGTCAGAAATATCATCAGTTCTGGATTTCTGGAAGGAATCTGAATTTGTGTGACTTTTGTCATGCTCATGTTCATGACATGACTTTGTACTCTGTCCAACCACAGCTCTTTTTGTTCTGTCTCTATGATACGTGCCCTTCCTCTTTCTATCTTCCAGTTTATTCCTCTCACATTCATTTCTACTAAGTTCATGTCTACCATGGCTCCTACTCTTTTCCTCTGCTTCTGCTAGCATTGTCTTCAGTTTCTGTAAAGACTGCAAAAATATGTAAATCACTAAAAATGTTCCAAGAGTCAAAAAATAAATAATTTCAACACCATATCAAGTTTAGGTGTGTATCATGCAATCACAGACAAAATAACACAATGAGACTAGTGCATTTTAACACAAGCAATGCAGTAATTCATAATTTTGATTCCAACTGTCTCATAACAATTACAAGAAAAGTGATGAGATTACAAACAATGAACTGGTAGCAGGTAACAATGGTTGTATTGAAGAATTGCAAACAGGACTGAAAGAAAATCATAAAACATAAATGTCAGACAGTTATGCAATGCTAGGCAATCAAGACAAAAACATACGACTCTGAATAAACTAACAGAAAAATAACCTCAACTCACTCCCCATCGTTCTGCTGCTACATCTTCCACACTTCTACCTTCGTCAGCAGCTTGCTCCTCAGCGCGTTTCAAAGCTCGCCGTAGCCAACCAACACCTCGGTCACCCACGGATTTTGCCGGTGACATCTCAGACTCCTTGATAAGTTGCTCTTTGTCTTTTCTCCCATAAGGTAAACCTGTCCCTCCATCTTTCCAGTAAGGATTCAGCTCACGATCACTTTGACCTAGCTAAAATACACAAATAGTATCATCATCATTGTTGAGTAGTGACAAACATTCAATGTAGTTACAAGTTCAACATACCTCCAGAGTTTGAAAAAATAAAAGAATAGTTATTACACTGGTGCAAACATTCTTAATTCAAATTTCACATATGGAAGGAAAGTGAAGGATTTAAATTCAAAACAAATTACTGAGAACTAATAATCCTACAAAAAAGTATAAAACAGAAACATATTCATAAATCTGAAATGTTTCAATTCCATGGCATTATGGAACTCAGTATTTCATTGCTGCATGAAAAAAGAATATCTTATTCACACAACATCTGTCAAGCTAATCACTTACCCAAGGAGTCTTATCACATCCCAAAAGATATTCATAATTTCAATAATTCTGAATTAGATCAGGTCAAAAGGTCTAATCTGTGAAAGTTGAAGAAGTGTATAATTAACAATACTAACTCACTGTATTGAGCAAATATCTTTCTTCCTGTCTCTGTTCCTCTGCCTTACTCATGCGACCTGACTGCAGTTGTAGCCGTTTGTGTGATGTGGAAGGAAACAAGCCTGGCAAAGTCATCCATTCATCCCTCTCTAATAACACTTTACCCTCCTCTGTAAAGGTAAACACATTTCCACACTCTTATTGATTAAAAATGGCCTTATCAACATCTCTTATTGTGCAACAAAACATCAGCATTTGTAGACACTATACCAGCAAAGACAGCAGAGCATACACAAATTAAAATAGATCAAAATGATTTTGAGTAAGACAACATAGTTCTCATATGATTAATTATTGAACGAACACATTTAAATACTTAGCACATAATGCAATTTTCATCATGGCACCACAGCACATTCACTTATATCTGAATAAAATTCAGTTGCATGCAAGCAGTTTTCCCTTACCAGGGAATTTACCAAATGGAGAAATTACATGTAGTTTTCATACTATGAGCATCTACGGCATAGAAGTTCAGTTCAAAATATTTTGTCTTCTAGTCTGATTTCTAAGAACCTGAAAATTAAAGTATACAAAACAATATTTTTCCTGTTGTTTTGTATGGGTGCAAAAAATGGTCTCTCTCTCAGGGAGGACCATAGATTACAGGTGTTTGAGAATAGGGTGTTGAGGAGGATATTTGGGCCTAGGAGAGAAGGGGATGGGGTATGGAGAAAATTGCATAATGATGAACTTAAAAATCTGTACTCCTCCCCCAGTATCGTCAGGGTGATTAAGTCGAGAAGAATGAGATGGGCGGGACATGTAGCAGGTATGGATGGGACAAAAGGTGTGCATCGGGTATTGGTCGGGAAGCCTGAAGGGAAGAGACCACTGGGGAGACCTAGACGTAGATGGAAGAATAATGTCAGGCGGGATCTATGGGAGATAGGAGTTGAAGTAGACTGGATTTTGTTGGCCCAGGACAGGGTCTGGTGGAGGGCTTTGGTTAATTTAGTGATGAACCTTCAGGTTTCCTAAACCATCTAGTTAGTTAGTTACAGCATAGAAGTGAATAACCTTTAATGAAATGCCACATACAGTTATAGATATATGCTCAAATATGGTAATAAGGAGCATGAAATGGTCATCAGATATCATTTTACACGCAACACTATGAACAATACCCCTGAGGTTGTGAGTCTGAAACAAATAATACCTTGCTTTTCCTGTGAATCATCAGTTTTCAGACAAAATTTGTCCTCATTTTGTCTTGAGTGACTTTTGCCTGCAGTCACCTTATCAAATAACTTCTCAACAAAAGGTTCATCAGGGACAACAAACTTCTCAACCCATTCATCCTCTTCACTTTCATCATCGCTGCCCTGCAAACTGCAATCATTGTGGGTACGACATACAGTTTTTGGGTTATACTCTGTTAACCCACACTGCCATATAATTTATCTCAATTCTGTATTTTTATGCAGTTTACAAATCAATCTTACTTTCCATCTCCTAAAGTGCACAGGCCTTTCAGACACAAGTAGTCAGGAATAAACAAATCTTTTAGCGAATAAGTTTCCATAACAGCAGAAATATGAAATTCATAAACAAAGTACTGTGTGACTGCATACGAACAAGTATGGCCTATAATACAAATTTCATTATAATCAGCAAAATTATCAGCACCATCAGTTTCTCAATGTTACTGTATACCTGTAAAAAAGCTTTCTTTTCTGCATCTATCACAACAATTTTCTTCAGTAATTGTTTGTGTCAACTGAACTTGCATGTACTAGCAACAATGCCAAGCTGATATTTTGCCTTTTATCACAGGTCACCACAAAGATATTTGGTAATATCTGCATGTTTAATTATGTACTATTTTTTCTGGCTAGTGAATGGGAGTTGTGTATTTAATACATCGGTGCAACTTTGGTGGCTTATCAAAGAACGCTGTAGGAAAACAGCATGGATAATCACTTTGACAATGTTAGCCATTTGAAAAACAGGGATGAAATAAGAGTGACTGTTCTATATGATGGAAATCCAGTTATTCCAATCATGACATTTAGAACCAGCCTGGAACATCATGTCATGATGGCTGTAAGATATGAGCAATGAATTAAGGGAAAAATATGTGTGAGACTAAGAAACACAGCAAATAGGGGGCAGGCCTTTCCTTGTGCAGAACAGATCTTAATATGCATCAGTTCTGAGTACAAGAGAGTAAGTAAATATTAAAAATATTTAAATTCTCAGTTCAGATAATATTAAAGATGTCAAAAATTGAAGCATTTTTTATTTTCATGTATCCATACTAATCACTTCGGAGAATAAATATATTCTCAAACATTAATATTTTATAAACCTTAGTGAAGTTAGGAGAGATGGGAGCTTCCAATTATCGTCACCCCGGAGTCGGGCTCTCTCATCTTGCCCTTTTCTGAGGTTGAATTCTGCATAAACCTGGAGATATCATCAGATTGTGTGCAATTTAAACATACAACTTGCGATATGACTCACTACATCCAGCAAACTGATTTCATGCACATTGTGAATCATATAATAAGAGTGGGCATTTCCAAGACAAATTCACACAGTAAACCATTATCCATAGAAGTACATTACCTTTTTCATAACAGCATCTATTTCTTCCATCTTCTGTTTTCTTTCAGCTTCTTTCACTCTTGAACTTTCAAAATTAATGTAAGACATAACTAATGGCTACACCTAAGACCTAAATAAAAGAAAACAAGGAAGATAAAGACATGACTCACTATTTACAAAATTACATTACTTTTAATTCCTTAACTGCACATGGCAAATATTCAAATTGTATATGTTTTCTCTGGCCTTGCAGTGAGCAAAATACTCCCAGAAGTGTAAGCAGTTACAGAGAATGAAAATACTACATAAGACAGACACAACTAAATTAAAAAATCAGCCAAATCACTGCACTCAGCACAATTTTATTCATTCACTAAGTTCAGTTATCTATAATGTGACTGTGACCATCCTACACCAGGTTGTGTACCATGATTTTATTCATTCAAACATTAATTTATTGAGTTGAGTTCCGTTTATATGTGTAACACAAGATTACTTAGAACAATTTTATGACATCTACTAAAAGTGCCAATCTGATAAATTAATATACATTTAACATGAAGATGGCTGTCTTCTGGGTTGTTGCGCCATGTACTCTGGTAGAAGTTTACCATCATCATGGAGACAGCAAGGACCTCTGAAACATTGGTAATCTTCTACCACACTACATGGCACAACAACGCAAAAGACAACCATCTTCAGACTCGACACCATGGAAACCTCAAATGCTACATTTAACATACTTAAAACAAAGTTCTTGAGGCCAAAACAAGACATTTATTGGCAAATCTTTAAGACATGAAGCCATAACAAATTTTGTTGCAATAAAGTCTGAAAAATATGACTATAACAGAACTCTATTGATTGTTTATTCATAGGGTACTAGCAAAAATATCAAAATTATAACTCCATTTCTAAATTCCATGCTACACTCTTCCAGAAAACTACTGCACATGTGCAGGGATTAACCCTTTAAGTCAAAGCTCATTGAAATAATATTTAAGAATTCCAATACCCACCATTAAAAAACCAAGTGGTTAATGCTGCTTATGGAAATAACCACTTTTTACAGTTAGAAGCATATGATGCTCATAAATACAAAATGGAGAGTCACTGACTGTTAAAGCAAGTGGTACATATAGTTATCATTCACTTTCGAAGGGTTAATTTATGATGCACTAACATTTATCAGTCATGGAATACAGTTTATGCACGGTCCAGAATGCCACTTCAGAAATCATGTGAGGAAGGTGTACATTATCAAGTGTAACAAAATTTGTTTACATGAAATTTGTTTTAATGTTGCAGGATATCACTTTAAACTGCTACTGAAAATCACAGTAAGACTGAAAAATCCTTAAACTCAAAAAGGTATTTCATGAACTGCCACAGAAGTTGGTATTATCCTTGTGTGCTTAACTGCACGCTGGCCAGTCATACATACATACATCTTTATTACATTCCATGGATCCATAAGTTAGTCAGATGACAATAGGATGTAGAATAAGTCATAATAATAATACAATACAATCCTTCGTTCACCCCAAGGTCTGATATGTCATAATAAACGAGTGGTCCTCTGTATTTTACCTATATTCATCCGAAACGGTAGAAGCGATGCACTTTTATTTACCTGTTCAACTTATCCTACACTACAAAAACTGCAAATATTAACTCACCACTCAGGAACAAAGTCGGTAATCCTTGATTAGATCCGACGTTTAAGGTTATAAACTTCTCATCTCAATAATCCAAATTTCGTACAGTATAAGTTTAAAAAATACTTAACCATATATACTTATACAAAAGAAAATTCCTTCCTCGCATGGAAGAAAAACTAAGTTTATTAAATAATCCGTACAAAATCTGTTATGGCCTCGTCAGATTAAAACAAACTAACTTCACACGGCTATTGCCGCGAAATTATCCAGACAATCTGAACCACAGAACACAGAACCATAGATAAGCAACATAGACCGACAAGCGGGGACTAGGTCACCATTTTCCACTGCCATAAATTAATTTTGTTAATAACAGGAAGCTTGTAATTTAATATGCAGGCTTCGATAATTAAAGGATGGTGACATTAGGTTTCGGTAAATTTTCAATGTAACCGCACAGTAATGTAGCAGACTATGAAAATAAACATGTTCAGTGGATTCCGGTTAATTGGGACATATGGAGACTATAACACTTTGGCCCAATTAAGTGGCTGCCCCAATTACGCGAAGTTCCGTGTAAGAGTTAAAAGGGTTTGTTCTTTAAGATTTGTCCCAAATAAAGGGCTGCCCCGATTAACCGATGGCCCAATTAACCGGAATCTACTATATATGACTGTAGCTTATTATTTATTTCCACCGAATATAAAATTCAAAATTGAACTGAAACTATAATTCAAACTGTATCGCTGATATCATTACCAAGAGCCGCTTCAAAATCCAAACAACACCACATACGTCTAACCTTAACAAAGCAGTTTCTCAAAATCATCAATTAAACCGGAAATAAGTTATATATATCGATACTCTTTACCACGCCACTCCAAAGAACAAGGTTCAACTCGCCCACCGAATCAATCTCATTTCAATAGTCGAAAGTCTTCACATTCCGATCCCCTCCCCCAACCCTTCTCCACTCAGTCATGAGTAACTGATTGATCCAGTGCACTGATAATGGAGGCAACCCAGAATGCAGCCATCTTCTTCTAGGTCATGTTTATCTTTCCTTTAAATATTACTTCTAATACCTTGCTAGGTATATAACATACATATCAAGGCAGTAACCAAGATGCAAAATAAATGAGTTTTTAAAATGTAAAACTCTTTTAACCTAGAATCATAACTTTTCAAGAATCACAAAATAACATTTATTTCAATGAAATTGTTGCTTGTGTATTAAATTGTAAGTTACTTTCATGTATCATGTACAAATTCAAAATATGTATATTGTTTCAAGTTTGTTTCTTTAATTTACATAAATTTCTGGAACATAACTGTGGGCTTTATAGAAAAGTGTCAACGTGGAAGTTAAACTCTGAAGAATAATCAATAACCATATATCAGAAATTCATCAGGTGTTAATTTGATGGTGCCAAGAGGATAGTCAGGGTGGCACCAGGAAACAAATTCTGAATGCACTGCACCATTAACAAGTGGGCACGACTGCCAGCAGAACTGTCCTCACAAACAACTCTCAACTGCCAATAAATATCAATCAGAATATTTTCTGCATTCAATAACCCAATCACTACACCATTTATTCAACACAGATGTCTTCTTGAGGTATAAGATTCTTACAGCAGTGATGTTGATGTTGGTCTTCTGGATTATAAGTGGACATGCAGTAAATAGCAAAATTTTGGAGCAACTTCCTGCCTCTATCTTCACAGCTGAAGTACATAAGTGTTAAAAAATTAGTTTCTTCAGGATGGAGATATTACTTTTCAGCACACCCTCACATTTCAGAATGTTTCAATATAAATTTATTTTCCAGCTTACATTTTCTACTGAATTGTAAATAACTTACCTTCAGCCATTCAACTGTCCAATAGTCTTTGAAGAAATCATCTACACCTC